AGCACCTGTGTGTGTGTGTTTTTCATTTGCATTTTAACTGTAAACTGTAACTGCTTTTGCTGTATTCTTCCCCCGGTTTTCAAGAATTTTGGGGAAGGGTACCTCATTCGGGACCATTTTGTACATGTTTTTCGTTTAATTTGCAAATAAAATAACTTCTCGGAAGGCCGGATGCAGCTCTAAACCCTTTGGGGGAGCTCGATTCTCTGCAGTAACTAAAGTTAGGAAATGTACTTCGTAACTAATTAAAAGAGCAATCACATGGCTTAAGGATACTTAACATATGTGAGTATAATCTTCTCCACTTACTCTTGAAGCACTGGACTTCTACACTAGACTTCGCGGTTACCTCTTACTTGTACGACCTACGGTCGTAATTCTCAAGCTCAATCTTATAACTTATTCTCCAATTATCAATAATTGACCACCCAGCGACTAACATTGAACTAACCTCGAAAACCTAAATGTCCACGCTAAAAATATAACAACTCATTTGAAAAATTCAAGTCTTCTTCGTGAGAAAGTTCTCGATAGAACATACAGTTAAAAAGAAATAAATTTACCCCAAGAGGATTAGTTGAAGGTTTGCGGATAGACCTGCTACAATGTGTGTATGCTAACATTTTCCTTTATCCTTCCAATAATGGATTTCTTTGAACAAGTTAAAACATTTTTACTTTCGATTGTCCAGGTATCAAGGGCTTAACTACCACCGTATCAGCCGTATCAATGATACGAGGCCCCCAAGCTGCAGGAGCCCCCAACATGTGTAACCACAGTACCACTAACAAGCCTTTCGTTTCTAAAAAAAGAGCCCAGAAGCAGTTTTGCTACGGGGCCCACTCAGAACTAGCTACGCCAATGCCATATACCCAAAACTTTATTTAAAGGAACACAGGACACACAAAAAATACTTTTGTAGGAAGCATTGAATAAAAAACATACAGTACGTGAATAACCTAACATAGCCGCCCAGCCAGCATGACCCTCAGCTTGAAACTGAGTGGGTTCGGGTTCGAATCCCGAGTGAGGCATAGTTGTATTTTCTTCGGGAAAAGAAGTCGGACTTGCATCTGTAATGGATTCCTGTCTCGAATGGAAAGCAGCGCACCCCTTCTTGTTATATGCTGGGATCATCATCTGTAATAAATATCTATATTTTTCTGTTTGTATTGTATGTCTCTGTTCTTCCACTTGTATTTCGTATGTACCCAGGATAAAAAACACACGTCAGCAACAGCAACATAGCTTAACATGAGCCGAAAATTTGTTAATATCGAATTATTTTAAGTCCTCTAATGCATTATTTGTATCAAGAATTTCATACTTCGTTTCAGATGCATTATTTTTCCTCAAAGAGGAATTTATTTGTATTAAAAACTCATCGCAATTCCAATATTTCTTAAAAATGCAAGCAGTCGCAGTAGCCGGTTTGTCATGGTCACGAACTAATGGTTTGAAGTTTTGGCTCCATTAAAACCCACCTTGCAGTGGGTTAATGCACTTTAAACTTTTCTTGTCGCAAAGGTCCTCTCGTTGGAGAGATGTGGTACTTTGGATAGTTAGGTGCTTTCTTAGATGTGTTGCCCTCGTCGTTTGGCCGTCTTCAAAATTGCAAGGCCCACCGTCAAAAGTTTTGTGTTGTAACTGAAAAAACATCTAAATCGTAGTTGATTCCTATATTACAGTAATAAATTACGATTAAATGCATAATACTTAGTATAAATGTGTTTGAATTGCCCAAAATTTGAAAATAACATTGATATTATAAGATAAGATATTATAAGACAGACAGTATGAAGCACTTATTTGAATTTAATATACTTTATTATATTCATTTTTTAGATTTATGATACTGCTTTATTTTCATATTATATTGCGAAGACAGTAAAAAGAGGCTGAATTGTTTTATAACAGTTTCATCAAAATATATTGATAATTTTTTGTTGAAATTTAAGTAAAATATGTTTTACCCGTTAAAATCTTAAAATATAATTTTGTTTTAATTTAGAAGAAATAAAAACTAAATCAATAATGTCATGAAATTATTACATTTAATATTTTTCTTATGCAAAAAGTAAAGTTATTTGAAGCATTCTGAGCGCATATAAAAAGAAAGGAAGAAACAAAACTGCAACCAAAGATCTTGCCAGAAAATAACAATACGAAGTAATTAACCTATTTGAGTTAACTGGTATGTTTCAAACTTGCATTAACTGAATGCATAAATGTTTACTTGTATGTAATCACCCATACAAAGATTTCCTCACAGCTTTTTATGGAAGAAAAAAAATTAAGATAGAAGGGGGGGCAAACTAGAAAATAGACTTAAGCACTTGTCATGGCATTGTATGCTATAAATTTGCTATTCCATGCATTATGATAAACAACTTTGACTATATTATTCCTTTCATCAAGAAATCTTTTTTCTTACGAATTACTTTTTTAAGAAGTACAGTATTTTCTTTAAAAATATTCTCCATCCTTTCTTATTTCAATAGAACTTTCTAAACGCGTCTAGATGTCAGTCATGTGATTTCTCTAAAAGAAAGATTCATTATTTACATAAAATTCTGTTGAATCATAGAATTCTAGCATTGGATTTCATTTTTAAGCATAATTATTTATACCTTTTGACCAGTAGCGCACACAGGAATTCTTCAGGGGGTCCGGGGTCGAAAGTTCACCATTCTTGTATCATGCTCCTTTTGATTTTGGCGATTTTCGGGAACAAAACACAGTAAAAAACTAATTATTGAATAAATAATTAGCATTAATTAATAAAATTATTCATTAATAACAAATACTTAATTAAATTTTACGCACTATATACTTAGAATTATAATCAATCGGAAAAAAAATCAAGAGCTTTTGGGGGGTCCGGACCCCCTGCCCCCTCCCCTTGGGTGCGCCACTGCTTTTGACTCATAGGAATCCACAGCATTGAACTTTTTCTATTGAATAAATTGTTTTTTTAAGCGAATTTCATTTTCTTATTCAATTATATCAAATTCCTCTGAAATAATATTTGAACAAAAATTGAGGATATATACTGATAAGACAATGATTTATTGAATCTTATCTGCATTTACAAAAATAAAGCACACTATAGTGATTTCCATTCATAAAATATTAATACAATGAGTTTCAACCACATTCAATAAATTATTTCCTATTAATTTAATAAATTTTTAATCCAAATTAATTTCAATATTGTGTGCATCTATTAATAAACTATCTTTAATCAATTATCTTGAAATTTTATAAAACTCTTAACGAACCTCTGACTTTCATGGGCCAGAACTTGCAAATATGAATCACTGACGTTTAATCAATTCGCTAAAGATTTTCCTTCAATTATCCCAAGACCTGAACTCCAACTAATGATATCGATTAAAATATCGATGACAACCCCACAGATCAATTCATCTTCGATCCAATCTCTGTTTCACTCCCAAAACCAAAACCTCACCACCGACAGAACTCGATCGTCCCTTAACTAACCCATCGATTCTATTTTAGCTACTGCACCTGCCGCAAAATCCTCACCTCAGAGTGAGCAATTAAAAATCCCGATCAGTTCCAGACTCGAATAACAACCCCAAACATTCGAACGTTAAAAGAAACACGCCTTTTGCACGGTAGATCCTTCACGAAATAAAAATCTGTTCTAGTTTTCGTTATCTGCAAGAGAGGGGAAGATAGCAAGACACACTAAAGCGCTGGGATCGATGAGAGAAAAGATTAGCGACCGACCCAATAACATTGCCTTCCACCCTCCCACCGAGAAAGACCCCTTTTCCTTTTCCTTTAAACTCCCGACGGAGAACTAGACGGGGGAGGAGGGCATCGGACTGTGGAACGTTAAGGCATCAAGCGTGGATTTTGTTCTATTTCTTCTTTTTGGGTCCGGCGCCACTTTGCAATCGATGGCAGGACTAGGATAGAACACTGACTAAAAATGCACTTGAGGAGCGGAATGGCTCCTGGAGGGACAAAAGGAATCGTTAAGTCTTTCTCATTTGAGGATAGTGGTCGTAACGTGGTATTTTGGAGAATCAAAAGCTTTTGGTTCTCATCGTGGTGCGATTCAATCAAATGGTCCTCTTCTTTAAGTTTCTTTTTTTTAAATGCGCTGTCTTTCTTTTGTTTGAAGTGTGCGTCTTTGTGCAAGTTTCCGGTGGTTCGATTGATAGATCGAGATTTAAGGCGCCAGAACGTTAAGAATGAAAGTAGTCAAGCGTCACTGTAATCTCTCCATTTTCGGTGTTTGTTGATTCAAAATGGCAAGGAATTATTTTATCGTGTGCATTCTACATTCGAAAACGTTCTTCTTAAAATACGGTTTTACCGTCAGAAATGAAACTATTGTTTAAGGTATTTTTAAAGGTATATATAAATCTCTCCCTTTTAAAAATCATTCACACTTACGTAATCGTTTTCACTGACGAGAAATTAAACTTACAGAGAGATAAAAGTTTCTAGGAGAGATTATGTATTCCCAAAGACTGCCACCTTTCAAGAGCTTGCCCCTATATGCATATGAAGAATTGATTGATTGATTGATTAACGTCGCACTGTTCAGCTACACGAGGGCTTTTGGCGACATGCATATGAAGAAAGATAAGTAAAACTTATTTAGTATAGATACTGGGTGCTCAGAGCTACGGCTAATGACAGGCGTAAAAATCGAACCACTAGCCGTGATGAATTTGATGTTACTGTCTATCAGATAGCATAAGTAATAACAACAGATACACTAAAGCAGGGATCGGTAAATGGTGATTCGCGAGCCGAATGCGGCTCTTCAGACTTCTAGATATATGAATTATAAATAAAATAATTATTATAACAATTAAAAGCTAATGTTTTCTTTTCTTTTTCTGCTTTATAATAATCCATTAAAATGATTTATCTCATTTGCGTCTAAAATGAAATATTTGACTGGCTTAGATTTCTGTTTTAAATTTACCTTTATTCACAAAGTGTATTGTCGCCCAGCCAGTATAGTGGTTATGATTCTCGGCTTGTAACCGAGTGGGTTCGGGTACGAATCCCGAGTAAAACATGGTTGTATCTTTTTCGGGAAAGAAGTCGGTCTTTCGCCTGTAATGGATTCCCGTCTCAAACGTAAAGCAGCACACCCTTCTTGTTATATACTGGGATCATCATCTGTAATAAATGCGTATATTCTTCTGTTGTATTGTATGCTTTATGTTCTTCTTCACTTGTATTTCATATGTTCCCAGAATAAAAAACACACGTCAACAACAATAAAGTATATTGAAAACATTAAAATTAGTTCTATATAAAGTAGTAAAGGCCTGATTTATTGATAGAAATTCCACCATTCTAAGTGATTTCCAACAACGCTTACTTATTTTCATAGATCTCTCTGAAGCACTCTTCAAAATGAGCAAGAGTACACACACACACATAAACCCTCGACACAAAAACACATTTCGTATTTTGTGACATGGTTTAAGGTTAATAGAAAGAGGGTTGAAATGACTGTTACATGCAGGAATAATCGAAGTCAATTTTTTAATTACTAGTGTAAATATGAAATTTCAGAATAAAGTAGGAACAATTTTTTTCACGACGCTTAGAACCTTAATTCTAACATTATAATACAATCGGACCTCTATATAATGAAGTCGCTAAATCCTGGAAAAAAGTTCGTTATACGGAAAATTCGTCATATAGAGGGGGTTCATCTTTTAAAATACTTTATAAACCATATAATTTTTTTTTAATTCATAAGTTCTATGTATTAAAAAAAGTAATTATTTACACCTTTTTTAAATTAGTATATGTTTATTTTACATATCTTACCCATCAAAAAAAGAAAGAAAAACTTCAAGGAAAACAAGAAAAAGAAGAATACACAATATTTTATAAATACTATTAAGAAAATAGATTTATATTAAAATTAACGAATTTTAAGGACATTTTCAAATTTAAAACATACAAGTAATATTAAACATGCATTATTTTATAACTAGGATACGGGACAACTTCACTGAGTGTGAAAGAGGATATTCAAGATGTTTCTATAGTGAACTGGACAATTGGGGAAGGTAGCACACTTCATGGAAAAAAACGTTTAGGTGGAAAACTATTGCTCTCGGTGAGTAGGATCTAATCAAACCAGCTCAAGATTTATGACTACGGTGAAATGTGTTAAAGAGAAAATAACTTGAAATGTTCAGAAATAAATACTTTAAAAATAGGGAGAAAAAAAATTGAATTACAAAATAAATAGCTCGTTATATAGAAAATGCACTTCGCTATAGAGAGATTATTTTACGAAGAAAATCGTGAAATGTCCAAAGTTTCAGGAAAAAGTTCGCTATATAGAAAAATTCGCAATACAGAGGTTTGTTATATAGAGATTCGACTGTATTTTGACATTGGTTATTCTTGCCTACGGGCCACGTCTTCAAAATACGAGGTACTTTACCAAAAAATGGTATTATCCTCTCATCATGATTAATAAGAAAAAAGAGAATAATTAATTGAAAGTTCCATAAAATTTAAAAGATGCTATCAAAATTATTAACAACAGCTCAGAGCCGTTCTAAAAGAAAGTTTCTCATCTGTAGATGAGGACAATATTACCGGTGAGAGAGCGAGAAAGCATTCAATTGGCAAGTATGGAACATATTTAATGAGACACCATCCCGTTTGGGGGGGCAGAAATCGGGCTGTTCTCTGATTTGTCCTTTTTTGCGGAACGAAATCAGAAAGACGCAGAATTTGGAAAATAGAAAGATAAAATGGAGAATAAAAGCAATTAATTCCTTGGTAAATAATAAAGGGGAAGGACAAACACTGCTGAATCGTATAGCGATGACAGGTGGAAGGTTATTCTTGCTTTGGAGAGAGAGAGAGAGAGCCACAGAAATAAAATATATTAGAATGTTCTTTGTTTTCTGGAAGGAATGGAAAATTTAACTTCGTGTAAAAAGTTTTATTTAAACATTATAAAATAAAATGGAAATTGGATTAAAAGTCTTGATCGCGTGACTGCTAGCGGAAGCTCACCTTTCCCTACTACGCACACATATATGGCTCTTTGCATAAATGGCTTTTTGTGAAATCTTAGTTACCTTTTTTTCCTCTTACAATCTTCTCTCCAAAAGTTTGCCAACCACTGCACGTCTACAATTTTTCGTGACTTCATTTACTTGCAGCTATCATGGCTGCAATAGCCAAGTGGTCATAGCTGGAAAGTCCCAAGTTCGAGCCCTGTACCATTAAAGCCCCGCCGTGTAGGGGAGTGATGCACGTTAAATCTGTCGGGAGCTCAAACGTCCTCTCGTTGGTTTAGTGTGGTAGTTAGGTTGTGATATTCCTCCCCTTGGAAGTACATCTCTCGAAGTATCAGCGCGAGCTAGATGTGTAGGATTAGCGAAAGGACTAGGATCAAACATTATCTTAATATGACTCTAACAAATTAAATTATAATAATTAATATGAGAGATCTACGAAGGTAAAAATACGCAACACACAATAAGACTTAATCTAATTCAGACCACTATCAATAAGCAAACCACCTAATTCCCGATTCTAATATTAAATAATCAATCCTACCTTATTACAGCTTGGAGCAACGATCAATCTTGTCTTCTTATGCAATGGTATGCAACTTGGCTGATTCATTCTATTCGATCACTAATAATTTGTATTCACGTCACGCAAAACTCATTCAGACTGGAACCACGAACTGTAATAACCATCAACTGTCACAAACTAACATCAACTGTCAAACATTACCTTGCATTGCCATATCGCTTACTCTAAGATCCGATATTTAAAAGTTTGCTCATTTGCATCTTTTATTCACACTTCACTTCTTGGATTTTGTTGGAAAAGAGTTGCCATTAATTCTGGCCCAAAGAACCCAAAGGACTTGTTAAAGAAAAGACGCGTGAGATGTCACAAGGTGAGAAGGTGCCAGCTCGGTATCATCCTCGTCACTTGACCATGGTTCAAAATTACGAGGTCTGCCACCAAAAGCCCGACGAAAAGTACGACGTTAATATTCACTCACTCACTCACTTTACTTGCTGATATTGAAGGACCAATTCCTCGAGTGGAGAATGAAAAAAGGTTTCATGAAATTGTATACATTTTCCTCTGCGTTTTTAATTTAGGATTCAAAATAACATTTGATCAATGAAAAGATTAACGATCGTTTATGTTAAAATATTAAGGCAGTGTTCCTCGAACTTTCCATATTTGCGATACAATATTCAATCATAATTTTCATCGCATCCTCTTCCATACAATAACAATGTATTGAATTCAATAATATTATACTTTGGGGCTAAAGCTACAACTCACGACTTTAACCTTTTAAGTGCCACCTTCGTATATAAACATCTCACTCAGCCAAAGCGTTAATTGCCCCGGACATATATATATATACGTCTTCCCGAAGTACAATATTTTCTGTGGACTGGTATCAATAAAAGTATTCCGAAGGTTTTTGAATGCCAAAAAAGGACCTTAACAGTGTTTGTGAAGGATTTATTATTTCACAGGATTTGCTTGTTTATTCCTTTTCTCTCCCCTCCCCAATACATCATAAACGCACACCTATGTTGAAAAAGGTCGCAATGGGAAGCTAATCACATAACTTTAAATCGGCAGTTAAGGTATTAATTATAAACCGTACAAATTATCAATATAAGTGTTAATTTCTGTGTATAATTTTATATATGACAAGCCCAAGGGGTCATGGTAACTGTTAAACTTGTTCTTATATATAACTTAGTATTATTAAATTAATTATAAAATTCATTGTGCAGTACTGATGCAATTTTATAAGCATATTATATCAGATCAGTATAAATATGTATTTTATTTCTATTATGTTACATTGTAATTTATTTGTTTACTCTTTCAGTAAATTAATAATTATTTAAATAATATGTTGCTTTCGACTTTTCAGTAGGCTCACGCCCTCCTTGTAGAATTATCACGGTCCCCTAGAGGGGTGCACTCCACAGTTTGAGAAACACTGAGTTAAGGAATAAGGAGAATGAGTAAGTGTGTGAGTGAATATTAACGTCGCACTGTTCAGCTACACGAGAGCTTTTGGCGACGGACTTCGTAATTTTGAACCATAGTCAAGTGATGAGGTTGACACCTGAGCTGGCACCCCTCTCCTAACTACCAAGCCATACTAACTGGTGCACGTTTGAACTCTCGTCATATTTAACGTGCATCGCTCCCCTTCATGGCAGGTCTTTAGTGGTACTGAGCTTGAACTCGTGGCAAGCCAGCCACGATCCGATACCTTGTCCACTAGGTTACCGCGGTAACAAAGGAATAAGGAGAAACCTTCATTCTAAAAGAAGAAAAATTGTACCTGATGCTGTCCTCTCCGCTTGATCATCGTTCTAAATTATTAAGTTCGTCACCAAAAGCCCTCGTGATTAAACACTAGAATAAAATTCTGAATTGCGGTCTAGCCTCATTCTACCACATCCCCAATCCAGTCAACAACAATCACCTGACATTTAGTCCGTATAAATAACATAATTCACCTTCACCTTACTCTCGAACTCACTTATTTAAACAAGATCTTGAAGGACAACCTTTAGAAGAGTATTTACCAAACTCCATTGATTTGAGGAAGGACTTGGTTCTAATTACTAGAAGGGGTTCCTCCTTAAAGGATTCTCGAGGAAGAGAGAGCGGCTAAGATGTGTCAGACATGCACGTTCTCGATTAGATGCGTTTCCCAGACTGTCATAATAGAGAAGACTTAAGATTATTAGGGTCATCGCATATACATAGGATGCGCATTAGGAAGCCTGAGTTATCGGGAAATGCTCTTGGAGATCGCATTAATTTACCCCGATTCGATTCGAGATACTCCAGAGTCTAAAGTGGGGGGATGATTAATGGTAAATTAGAATTTGATCGTGGCAAATCGTTCATGTTTAAAGTGAAGTGGAAGGAGCAAATTAAGAAAGGGGTGTCTGATGTCATTTTGGAAAATTGCGAATTTGTGTTCAAATTTGTCGTCGTCTGGAGAGTTCTATGTATTGCTTG